GGTGGAAATATTGCTTCTGCCTCATTCTTGACTAATATTTGGTCCCTTTTGATGGGAGATGCCATTATGTATATATGTTTCTCATACTGGTTAATGAATAAAGCACTGTTGGCCAATAGGAAAGCAAGATAGGTGGGACTAGGAGACAAGGAGGAAAGAGGAAGGAGTAAGGAGTCAAGATGGAGAGTCTGGAGAGAATAGAACCGCCAGCCGCCTCTCACTGGTAAGACCACGTGGAAATACATAGAAATGGGTTAATACTTAAGACAGAGCTAGCCTATAAGAAACAAGTAACTGGCCAACAGCATAATATCAAATACAGAGTCTCTGTGTGTTAATTGGGGCTGTGGCAGCGGGACCAGACTGGCAGCAGGCAGAAAAACCTGACTCCTTATACCCTTTTGTATTCTTTATCAACTATTAGTAAAAAACACATACAATAATATGGATTTTTAAAAAAGATTTTAATATTTAATGCATGTGAATGCTTGTCTGCGTATATGTAAGTGCACCACATGCATTCCTGGTGCCAAGGAGCCCAAGAAAGGGAGTTGGATCCCTGGAATGGGAGTTACACTGTTGAGAGCTGCCATATGGGTGCTGGAGCTGAACTTGGGTTTTGTGGGAGAGCAGCATCTCTCTAGCCCCAACATGAAGTTTCTTATATATAATAAAGGAATTTTACTGCCATAACCTCAAATGTACTCACAGTTTTTAATCTTAATATATCTATGGCCACCAAAGGAAGTGGCACTACTAGGAGGTGTGGCCTCGTTGGGGTGGGCTTTGAGATCTCTTTTTCTCAAGCTTCCCTCGGTGTGACAGTTAGTTGACTTTCTGCTTTCTTCTGGTCAAGACACAGCCAGCTCCATGTATGCTTTCATTCTGCCATGCTCTCCTTCACAATGATAATGGACTGAACCTCTAAACTGTAAGCCACCACCTCAATGAAATGTTTTCCTTGTAAGAGCTGCCATATTCATGGTGTCTCTTCACAGCAACAGCAAACACTAAGACAATACCTAAGAAAATAACTTACACATCTTCATAAACTGCATGTATCATTTTTAAGCACAAAAAGAATATAGCATCATTTTTCCAAGTAATTGGCAGCATAATTGTAACAAGAACCGTATGAATGTCTTGAAGACACAGTGAGACTATCTGAAATACCAGTCTGCCGACTCCAAAGCTTAGAGACCTTTTAAGAAGGGTCTTCTTTATGACAAAAATAAAAGTGTCCTTTCTATAACTTAAGGTTGTTCTATATAGGTCTGGTTTGCAAGAAAGTTAATTCTTTTTCTCTATAGCATTATGGCACTGTATTGATTTTAGAAAAAGAGAAGAGAAATTCAAGTAACTTGGAATGCAAATTTGAGTCACTTTAAGAAGCCATGGCTGTGTTGCTCACTCTGATCAGGAGCATTTTGCCCTCCCAACTGATCCATGTCCAGAATAGACTGTGGGGAAATAAAAAAAATCACTGAATAGTATCATCTAGGGGTGTTTAACTTATCCTGCTAAACTAAAAGCTCATTAACCAGTTTCAGAAAAACAGATACCACTGCCATCTTAGAACAAAAACTCCACATATATTCAATTTGTAGAATGAATTGACTCTAAAAATGAAATAAAATTTGATTCTAAACAGCTACGTTTAACTTGAATTTGTGTATTTTACAACAAACTCACACTAAATTTCATGATGGTTTGAAGAACCACTGATTGTAGAACTTCTCCTGTGTTTGCAGATAAGAAACTTCATAGATTATTACAATACAGCAAGAATTAAATGCATATTTATGTATCATAAAACATCAACTTGAAACTTGCATATGAAAGGCTCTACAATTCTTTGAAGTGAAGAAGTTATCATTTCTAGCAATTCTACCACTATTTCTGAAGATTACCATAACCCAGCATTTTTATTCTATTAAACAGACCGAAGCTCATAAAAATTACCTTGAAAAAAACCAAATATGTTTAACTGCCAGGGTTGGTGTTAGGAAATCCAAGCAACACTTCAAATACCATGCGGAATGACAATTCTTACTAATGTCACTTTTTACTTCAGACATTATATATTCAATTAGGGAGTCTTATGTGTTTAACAAACTTTTTCTATTTCTTTTTTAAACTAACATCTCAAAAACAAATGTTATTCCCAGTGGAGTGTGTAAAGTCAGGAAATATTCATTAAAAAAAAAAAAGAAAAAAAAAGGGAAAACATCAAAAGTTGAATTATTATTTCTAGATCCACAACATCCAGTAACAAAAGAAGTATATATAAAATTACACTTACACCAGAGAGAGTGCAATTCTTAATTTAAAGTCAACTATATAGAGCTGTGTTAGCTGGGAAGTGTAGTAACTCAGGGTCCCAAATGAAAGAAGTAAACATGAATGTGCTCTGTAAACCAGTCTGACTTCTAACAACCCCCAATGCAGAATGTCTTTAATTTGAAAACAATTTGGAAGTTACTGACATGGTGGGTAGAATACGTCAGTTATATCATAGTTCACAACTATCATCGACATAAAAACTACATTACTTAAACTGTATTTCTTCACTCATCAATGCTTCCCCATTTACATCAAGGAACAGTGGCTACACCATAAACTGACCAACCAGGGCAAGTTCTTACTCTATACAGTGCCCCCCCCCCAACGCACACACCAAATAAACAGAAAAAAAATGAGCTACATTATAATTGCTGGCCTATATACAAATTTCCTTCCTTTCTTCCATTTCCCCTTTTCCAATAACTTTATTCACATCACGTACAACAGAGGAGAATAATGCTACCAAACCTAAAGGTCTAAATAGCAGAGGAAAAGAAAAAATGGTATAAAGATAAACACATGTGAAACTGTTCTCTGCTGCTTCCCTTGGGATGACTGAAGGATGCTTCCTCCACTACTTTCCTAAGGGAAAGGTCTACCAGCACATTCATTGGCTTATTTCCTTTATATTATTTCTAAAAATATATTGCAACCACTTTAACTGTATAGTGTGAAGACCCTCTTCACAAATTCACATAAACTTGTATAATTATTAGATGTGTGATATCTACAGTCAGATATTCTCAATTATGGAAATCAGTAAGTAAAATGAGTATCAGACTGATTTGATTAACAACTTCAATGGTTTGAAAAATACAAGAAAATTGCAACATTTCCTAGGAAACTATCTGAAAGCAAGAACTGTTACTTTAAATATACTCTGATAAAATTATAGCTCTTAAATTTTAACTCCTACACATAAATGCATAGTTATATTTCAAACCATGTTATGAGGGATTAGACACAAAATTAATCACCATTCTTAAAACCATACTGTAGCCTTATATCCATGATAAAATTTTGAGAAATGCACTGGGGCACTTTTGCTGCACTCTATAGAGGACATTTACAGAAACACAAGTTTCAGAGTACACAGTATTGGGGAAGCAAAAACAAAGCTATTCTTGCCTCCGTCTCTGTTTTGTTCTGCCTCTGATTCCACCTACCTTTTCTCCCTCTCTCTCTCTCTCTCTCTCTCTCTCTTTCCCTCTCTCTCTCTCTCTCTCCCTCTCCTCCTTCTCTCACATACACATATGTACCCACACTCTCTCCAACACTCTATCTCTCCTTTCTTTTCCAAACACGCTCTCCTCTCCCTCACTCACATACACACATGCGCACACATTCTCATAAACTCTCTCTCCCTCTCTCACACACTTATCTCTCCTTTCTCTCCCTCTCTGTTAGTCCCTCTCTTTTCTGTTCCTCCCTCTCCTCCCCACTTACACACACATATATGGGGAGTAAGCTATAGTTTTGGTTCCTCTTTAGCTCTGAGATTGAGGAGATAGTTCTTATTTCTCTTTGGCCTTGTCTCTTGACCAACAGCGTATACATTTATTTTCCCATAGAAAGTGAAAATTTTCCTTGGTAAGAAAGGCTAAAGAACCCAGAACTTTGATAGATTCTACTTTATCAACACATCTTCAGTTGGGAATATATAAAAGTTCATAGGATTATGAAATAAACTTGAAAAGACAGCTTTTAAAGACAAATTGAACTGGCAGTATACCTCAGAGATAGTCCACTTGTTTAGCCCATGAGAGAGACACCAGGTCTAATCCACACCATAGTAAAAGTAAGCATATCAGATCCAAGAATTTGCTCAGAGTATAGCTCAGAGCATGGGCCTAGCATACATGAGGTCCTGGGTTCAATAACCAGCACCACATGGGAAAATGCGAACCACATTTAAAAACATTAAGACACATTTAATTATGAGATCATTAGATCACCAACTAAAAGGTAAACCATATATTTTACTTGGAAATACCAAATTTAATTGCTTAGGTTTCATTTTTTTATAATGCTTTACCAATTTTAATGGACTGGCAATTGAATTTCAACAATTTGGAAAGGTAAGAATAGTTGAATACAAACACCATCTCAGAGACCAATAATGAACAGCTTGTAAGTGCTCAGACACCAAGCCTACCCTCCTACCACCACCACCCCCATTCCAGCTCCTTCCATGTTTCTGAATGCCAAAGGAAAGGTTCTCTGTAAAGAACAATCATTATTGAGTGGAGGAATTATCAGAAACATGTTAGCCAATTACTCACCAAATAGTCAAAATCCACTGGTTGAAGTGAGATTACACCATTGTCTGAATGTCAAAAAGTGATTGCTATTTTTCTACCTTTAAGTAGATTCTGATATGTGCATGATGTCTGGTAATTTAAGTAGCACAGAAATGCAGGGAGTATGTATGGCTACCAGTTTAGGATACCCAATCCAGACATTATGGAGGGTGACATACGGCTACCAAAAAAATGTGATAAAGACTGCATCTTCGGTTTTTGTTCTCGTTAAACTGCTCTAAGTTTGAAAAGTACTTAATTATCTCACACACAGGGGTGTGGCTGCTTTCTCATTGTTTGGCTATAAACTGAATGATAGCTATATGACTTTTCAAAACAGCATGCCTTTATTCCTACCTGAGACAGCTGGAGGTGACAGAGGGGCTAGGTGATAGACAGCAGAGAGAAGTTCTCTTATAGTTTCCATAGCACCACGGACAAACAGGTTTCCTGAAGCATTTAAAAGAATTACATAACACAATCTAATGATGTCTCTAGTACATACTGTTGTGAAAGAATAAAGCCACTCACCATATTCACGGTCGACCACTAAGAAAAACATTTCAAAATTCTAAACAGACACTAAAATTTTCAGACATGATACCCTATATATGACAGATTGAAGTATTCTATTCTTTGTGTGTCTCTATGTAACATGAGTAATAGAGAACATGTGATCGTTACCCCTAGTTTTTCAACCAGTCAAACTCAAGGTATTCTTTATCATAAAATGCCAAAAATACCAAGAGCTCAAACATATTTGTAAAAATTAGATTATCAATAACATTCTTTAATGTATCTTAAAATTCTAAACACTGATCTGAACTGGAATCCAGATGCAGACAGGGAGGAGTAAAGAAAATGGGGACAAGACTAGGCTACAGAAACTAGGCTACAGAAACCCACAGAGACAGCTGACCTGAACAAGGGAGAGCTAATGGACTGATAGCTGGGAAACCAGCATTGAACTGATTCAGACCCATGTACATGGGTCTCAGTTAGAGGGCCAGGGCAGTCTAAGGGACCTCTGACAGTGGAACCAGGATGTATCCCTGGTGCACAAAAGGACTTTGGTAGCACATTCCCCATGAAGGGATACTCCCTTAACCTAGAGGGAGGAGGGAGGGTCTAGTCCCTACTCCAAATGACTTGAAAGATTTTGCTGATCCCTCCTGGAAGGCACCACCCTCCCTGTGGAGTGGGGGGGGATGGGATGGGAGGGTGGTCGGGGGGAGCATGGGAGGGAGGGAGAGAGGGAGAGAGGGAGGGAAAAAGGGAAGGAGGGAAAGAGAGAGGGAGGGAGGAAAAAGGGAACTGGGATTGAGATGTAAAATAAAAAAAATTAAAATAAATAAATAAGAGTATATACAATGTGAAGAACAAACTCTGAAAACAAAATCCACTAACTTTCTATATTTAAAGAAAAATGAAAAAAGATTAATATATAATATATACTAGCTCAAATCATAAAATAAATGATTCCTTGGAAATGAGGAAACAAAGCAGACATGAACAGGTCATAAAGCCCAAAGCATCAGTAAAACACACACAATATGCAATTTTATAGAAAAACAATTTCAAGATAGCTATGTAGACTAAGTTGGCCTCAGTCTCAGACAGATGATCCTGGCACTACCTTTTGAGTGCCAGGTATGCATATCATACTTCTCCCGATTTTTCTTTCTGGTCCATGGTTGAAAAATAAAAAAGGTTATTTTGAAACCACTGATCTTTATCTCTAATACTGTCAACTTACAGCAACAATGACAACACAATAGACACTTATGTATCCTGTTTATACCTCTTCAGACTATTTTTGCTGGCCTGAATTTGTTCCATGATATCACAGGTCAGTTTAGCATAGTGTGTATGTTATAATCAACTATAAACAGCAACACGGTTTTCTAACATGATTTAGTTTTGTTTTCATTTTCCTTAAAGGTACAAGTGACAGCTGTCATAAATTTTTATACTGGCCCATTAAACTTGGAAAAATAACAAAGTAAACAGGTACAGCTGAGTCTATATGAACAGGCAGAAAAATCTAAACACACACATTTAGGACTAACTAAAGACAAGGCTCACAAAATAATCACAGGTGTTCATGTGTGTCTAGAGGATTACAAATCAGATTCAGCTAAATGAAATAATCTATATTAATTAACACATGCACTTTCTCAAAAGGAACTGGACAATTTAAACTCTATTATCAGATATGCCTTTTACACTGTAAATGTTTTCTGAAATGAAGTTTGTTGTATATATTATAAATGAAGTGACTACGTTTCACAATGAATTTTAAGTTACATAATTACTAATTATACAGGCCTACAACAACATATGTATTATTTTAAACTTTTAACTACTCCTTTCATTCTAATTATTTTCTCCAAATATCCTTCCCTACATCAAGCTTGTGATCATCAAAGTTCAGGCTAAATAACAGTCAATTTATCTTTGCCAATCCCTCCTAGCCAAACAGGCTATAAACAAAATCTCCACTTGGAACAGTTGGTTCTCTCTTTCCCATGACACTATGGTACAACTGCTCAGATCTTTTAAGACACTGCCAACAAGTTCCTCAGCTGCCATACTAGTTCACCGATACAAGTGTGCCTCTACCACTCATTGCTTTAATGTTAAACCTAATTTCTTCCTTGAGAACCTGTTCATATCCAAGGATTCAATTAAAAAGAATACATATGATCCTCATACACAATGCACTAATCATGTAAATGTACTACCATGTCAACAAAATGCCCTCCCAGGTGTCCCAAACTCTACAGTGACTTTCAGTAATTTATTTACCTCTTGTTGTAGTCTATGACTTCTTCATCTCTGGTAAGGTAGTTAGCAATGCGTGAGAAAGTGACTAGATGCTACCAAACACAGTGAAAAGCAATACTTGGTTATTTCCCATTCTTACTGCACCCAAATACTGTCTTTCTCTACTGCATTACAAGTCATCAAGAACCTAGCTGTCTTTTAGCCTTTTCATTCTTATGGTACTTCACAAATACAGTAAGAAACCCTGCTGATTTGTCATCATGTCAAATGGTCACATCCAGGACCATCTTGAGAACAGTTGAGAGAAACTATTGTTCCAAGTTCTTGCACTTGTGCATGTGTGGGTGTGTAGGTATGTGTATGTGTGTGTGGGGGGGTACTTTGTCTTCATGTATGTCTGTGCAACACATGCATGCAGTTGTCCAGGGAGGACAGAAACAGTCAGATCCCCTGAAACTAAAATTATTAATGGCTCTGAGCTGCCATGTGGGCTCAGGAAAGTGAATCTAGGTCCTCAGGAGAACCAGTTAGCCATCTCTCCAGCTCCTCTGGTTGTAGGCTCTGGCTCTGTCCAGATCTAAGCTCGTGGGACAAGAAGTTTGTTCAGTTCAGCATCATACTGAGTTTTAAAACTCTACTCAAGCATAGTGCCAGTGGTTTACATATAGCTGGTGTTACATTTGTGTTCACATTTTCCAATACAACTCCACTGAGAAACAGTTATCTGTATCACTCAGGAACTCAAGGTATTAGAAAAGCAAACAGACCACAAGTAAGGCCTTTCTTAATTAAAAGGCAGAGTCCTCGATTACTCTGCCTTTATGCTTAATGTCTATAATCTATTCTATAGAGAACTGCCAAATTCATCTCAGTAAAGACCACTTTCATCGGATCCTTTCTTCAGTGTACACTGCTGGTTATGTTGTAACCATGTTGTAAATTCTATGCCTCTTTCTTGTCTATTCCATCTGTTTCACTATTCCAAATGAACTCTGAAAACTCTTCACATACTTGGCTCTACATCTACTGTGTGAATAAGCCTCACAACTGTAAGACACAATTCATGGTATTAACTTCTCCCTTAAAATTTCTCTTACTCTGCAGCCCGGTGGTGGTGGCGCACACCTTTAATTTCAGCACTTGAAGGCAGAGGCAGGCGGATCTCTGTGACTTCAAGACCAGCCTGGTCTACAAGAGCTAGTTCCAGGACAGCTACAAAGCCACAGAGAAACCCTGTCTCGAAAACACAAAACAAAAACAAACAAATAAAAATTTCTCTACTCAAACCCAGAATCTTTCTTTTTTTTTTTTTTTTTTTTTTTTTTTCCAATTCTTCTACATCCACACATTACCAATGGCCTTCAATTGAAAAGTAATTAAGCTATGCACTTAGTATGGTAAGAAGTAGAGAAATCATCTTTTGACTAAAATCACTATATTATGTGGTAATTCTTCAGAAAGGCATTATAGGAAACAATGGTAAAATAATTCCAGAGACACAATACCTAGCAATAGTTTTATAGGAGTGAAAGAACTTTGGAGCACTCAGCCCTAAATGTAATGTCTGTTTCAAACCCCTCCTCTCAACGCTTGGGATTCTATGCATAAGAACCAGAGCTGGTGGACAACTCCAAGGGAACAGTATCTTCAAGATACAAGAGGACTGAAAAGCACATGAACTCACAGAGAATGTGATAGTATGCACAAATCCTACACATGTTCAAAGCAGGCAAAGTTCTAGCACTGAGAAGGGAAAGTAGGCACAAATTCCCACGCCTAACCTAGAGGCTATTTGTCACTGGTACCTGCTAGGAGAAAGAAAAAATCAATTTTCTCCAATGGAGTGTCACAGAGTATATCCCACCCTCCATGGAAGGCCAGCAACAAAACAGACTCAATGCTTTGGGTTTTATGTGTGTGGGCATGTGTGTGTACTTTTTCTTCGGGTATTTTGAGAGAAAACACACCACAAATGTTAAGTTGGATGGGTAAGGAGGTAAAAGGGGTCTAGAAGGAGTTGGGGAAGTGAAAAGAATATTATCAAAATATGTAAAATGAAAAGTTTTAAATAAAACATTAATTTTTTTAAAGTTTTCAATTACAAAACACCATTAATTTAGTATTCTTAACAATGCTTCATTCTTTAAATTCCATTAAAGAGCTCAACAATATAAACATACAAATTGTCCTTGAGAAAGGATGACTTGTGGTCTACAAAAATCACAAATAACAGCAAGTGGTTCTACTGCAGACAGTACTTCTTAATATTAAGTGTTGTTTGCCCTGGCTCCAGAGTATCTGTCTATGCATACTTCTCACTAGTTAAGCAAATCCCGTACCTTTGCCTTTCCTTAAACATAGGCAAGAATTGCCATCCTCAAATATATGAGGCCATATAGTCACTGTCTATATTATTTCAAGCCATTTGTATTCTTTTGACTATACCTTCTCATTAAATGAATATGACATTAACAATAGAATATAGTAAAATATAAATAATTTTTATTAAATTAACTGAAAAAAGTTGAATATTCTTAAACTAAACATTACCAAAGGTATCAATCCACTTACTATGCCTCCAAGGCTGCTTTAATTCTTAACAGAGATCCTGATCACTGTCAATTAATTCTCTTTCCTCTAGGCACATCTTCACTTAGTTTTCA